ATGTACTACATGCTTTTGAAGTTGTTTGCAAACCTTACGAGCTTTTCAATCACACTCAGGAGAGCCCATAAACTGGTATTGACTCTGTAAGGACGTGTCCTTAGACAGTCCAAAGTAAGTTCTTAACGAGTAAAGAAATGACATTTTTAAAACAGTACTTCAGACCTGTTTATGCCTCTATTTTATTGCAATGATCCATTTACATGGGATACAAGAAGCACACTGGTACAAATACTGACCATTAAATGTAGTTATGATCTAGAGTCAAAAACAGGGTTTTCAAGTGTGCATTGTATACAGCTTTTTGGTAATTCTTCATACATACTGTGGCAAAATATGATAAAGCAGTTCTAGGTACCATTATAGTGAAATACGACTGTGGTATCTTACTGCATCTAAAATGACTAATGTATAGTACATGTGATAGTAATGTACTAGCCTCTTGAGATAGCTGTACGTAGGTCAGGTATTGATAAAATCTGTCTTAAGAGTTCTCCTGTGCAACACCTCTGTATACTACTACTAACAATATTAATGGAACTCAAGGCAGTCAGAACCAAGGACAGGGCACATATACCCACCACCCTGGAAAATGTGCATAAAGTGATCTCCTATGCAATATCTCTGTATAATAACACACATTATAACAGAGATACTGATACAAACAAACTGTAATGTAAAGGGAAGGCAGTCAGCACCAAGGACTGTGCACATATATCCGCCACTATGAAAAATATGTATAAAGTGATCTCCTATGCAACATCTCTGTACAATAACACTCATCATGACAGATAACAGACAGAGATACTATTGTGTAAATGGTGGAAGGCAGTCAGCACCAAGCCTTAGATTTTGGTAACACATTGGTATAATGTAGATAGACTAAATCATTGGTATAATCCAAATCTAATTTTTTGCTGGCTGTTTAGGTCCATGTCAGTGGCTGGTAGCCATGCGAAGTGTCCTGGCCATTGTGGGGCATAATCAGAGGTTGGTAGCCATGCTCACTCACAGGTACATTCTCATAACTGGCAGGCTCAACGTAAGAAGTGTTATCTCTGTCGCATAGCCCTAGGGCCTGTCTGGGGTCACTAGGAAGAGATGGCATGTCTTCGTAAGTCTCAGATTGGAGAGAAGCTGACTGTCGGGCAAGCAGTGGGTGTGTGGCATCAGAAGATAGACTTCCAGTGGTTTGCCTCGGAAATGCCCCTGTTGGAGGAGGGTCCACAGCTTTGTAACTATGCTCCGACACGGAGGAAACTGGCCGTGGAACGGGCTGTGGATTTCTGATGGATGGACTGATAAGTTGGGTTTGCCCTGTCTGATCCTGCCCACTGGTTATCACAGTAATTGTGGCGACGGCACTACTATAAAAGGCTTGGCCTACAGGAGTCCCTTGGTTGCTGCTGCTTCTTTTACGCCTGATTATGAAAATGATTATACCAATAATGAGGGCAATGCCAGCTAACGCACCTCCCACAGTGCCAACAATAACACCGAGGGAGAATGTGGGAGGAGGATTGGGGTAAAAGACATCTATAGAGACGGAACGTGTGAAGCCGACAGAATTTGTTGCGGTACAGACGTACTGACCAGAATCTTCAACAGTTACATCTCGTATCATGATGGTACCATTCACATCAACTGTCACCTTCCCAACTGAATCTACAGTAGCGTTCAGTCCAGATGGGAGTAG